CCCTCACTACTCTCTAGTTTGACTCTTCTCTCTCTAATTTCTTTTTCTCTCTTAGTAGCCTACTTGAGTTCCTCTTCTAGCCTTAAGTGGATCCTCTCTACCTGCTGGAGCTCCATCTGCTCCCTTATAAGATGAGGCAGCGGGCTGGACTGCACACCCGCCATTTGACTAGCGCCGATACCTGACGTATTGAAGACGGACTGCGAGTTGGTCGAATTGGACGACATGCCCTGACCAAAGGTTGCTGCAGACGTTGCTTAAGCGGTAGCCATTGCTACCCCGCTAGCTGCTGCTGCTTCCCTTGCAGCCTCAAGACTACGGGCCCTAGCTTCAGCCCTTAGTCTTCTCTCTTCTCCCGGTTGTAGGGCCTGGAACACTCTAGGGATTCTAAGCGATGATAGCCTTGTTAACCTCCTAGTGTCAGTTGTTCGTTCATCCCGGGCTAATCCACTCATCGGCTAGGCAGACGCTGTCTACACTAGAGTCCTCTCTGGGACCTACCGCAGCATATGTCTGACCGGTTCTAAAAATAAAAATAAAAATAAAGTCCGGCGAGTTACCCAGACTACCAGTCAAGCGGCATCAACAGCACCTACACAAACTGTACACATAGTCTAAATATATCTTGATTAGTTCTGCACAAAAGCTTCGAGAAGAACTGTTTATGGTAGATTACAGTCTGTTAGGTATCTGCAGTCTGTCAACCAACTAATCAAAATAAAAATAGACTACTGTGAGCAGATGTATGCACAATGGATATGATAGTGTTGCACAATAGATTTCACAATTGGAATCCCCTTCCCCTATATCCAACATACCTGTGAGCATCATCAAGCAATGGTGTCTAGGGTGTGCAACCACGCCCCACCCCTGTGCCCAAGAAGTATGCTGATGACCAGTCCTGCCCTTTGTTTACCCTCGCGTGCAACGAGCCTTACGTCTGACTGATCTGGCTGATCAAGAGGCAATTTATGGACAGCCCCCGAGAGTCCTCAGGATTTCTTTAACGTCGCAATCAGGACAACGATCACAGCCAGTGGACAGTTCATACCCCAACCAAAAATGTTTATAGATGGTCTGGGAGCGTCTCCGTTGGAGTGGTCAGTCCGCACACCCCTTCTATCAGCGCAACAAAGAGCCTCAATGGACAAAGCAGCTTGGCCTGTGTGTACTACTACCCATGGGTTGGCATGATGATCGAGACCCGTGCTTCTACCAGGACCCTTTAGAGGCACCGCCCTCTCCTGCCAGATGCGCCACCGGGAAGAATGTCGTCTCTCAAGATAGAGCCTAAACAACTCCTTTCAAAAGAGAGGACACTCAAGTTGGACTCACTTCCTCACGGTAAGAAGAGATTGAGAGGGTAGATAAGGAATGGGAACAACGTACCTGGAGATGCTGCCCCCAACCACAGATTTCTCACCAATTGCGCCGACGTGCATTTCGATGATCGATCATTAGCCTACCACCCACAACGCAATGCAGTGCCACCTCAGCCAAAATGCCACATTAGCATACTCTCATCATCATACATACATCTGTTGTCGCCACAACTCCCATGCTGTTGCCACAGCCTTCCAGCGGCCGGCCTCTCCACCTAGGCCCTGCTACAACAAACCAGCGTCAAAGTATCCTCACTGCACATGAAGCATCGTCAACACACCAAGTAACAATGTCGCCGGTGCCAGGTAAGCGGCGATCACGAACCAGCTCCGATACCAAATTGCAAGGAATATGAGTGTGAACGATATACAGAAAACCAAGTTGCAAAGTCACACAGATGTCCAGGTAGCCGTATCCAAGCAGAGAGTGCAAAATGCACCGAGAAACCATCCATATAGAGGAATACAATGAAGTAATGAGCCAATGTTCAAGCCCGTAGGCTCCTCTCTGTCTGGCGCCCAGCGCCCCAACCTACTCTGCCTGACTATCCTACCTACAGCTGGTTCACACAACAGGCTCACTTCTACTCTTGAAGACCAATGTACACGACTGTCAACTCCATAGCTGACACCTCTTCATGCACCAGGTACGTATCTCGTCACCCTCAATCAGACCTTGTTTGCCCCACACTCGCCTCCTTCCCTGAAGACCACTAGATCGCCCGCTGCACACCCCTGGCGCCCAGCAGCCCGGCTATGGCTGCCTGCGCCCCGCTGCCCTGCAGCCCCCCTCCTCACCACTAAGCGCCCCGTCAACGCCTCTGGCAGCAGCGCAGCATCAAGCGAGAGCGCATCAGCACTTCGACATTGCCAGCACTGGCCAGAATACCTGGCCTGGGCTGCCTCACTTCTTTTATGGAAGTGGCAGCCTCCTGGATGCTGCATGTGGCCTGGCTGGAAGCTTCCAATTGCTTCCGGTTTGGCCTCAGACCCTGCGCCCAGGCCCGAGACTACAGTTGAGGGTCTGGGCCCTTTTTCAGTTGGGCACGACCTGAATCTCTGGACTTGGGCTGTTTGCTGCATCTGTGCAGGTGTCGCATACCGTAATGGTGCACACCAGAACAAGAACTGACCTCTCTCACATAATACAGGATAGCGCAGCGAAACGCTAATATACCAATGATCAGCCCAATCAATGTCGCAATCAGACCCAGCATATATCATCATCGTTGCAAGGTGTGAAGGACTTGGCGCTACATACAGGAAGAATGCGCCAGGTCCATACCATACACAGAGGAAGAGGAGGGGATCAGACGAAAAAGAGGGGGAAGATGGGAATGTCATCAACACCAAGTCTTCGGTGCAGGTCCCAAATAATCCCTCGTTCAATGTCTCAATCCCAATGTCGAGTCTGAATCCAAATGTCGTCAAGTCCCAAAGTCACCAATCTCTCTCTCTCTCTCGTAGTCTGCAGATACTGAGAAGTCAGGTAGCGAGATGATGAGGGAGAGATGGTAGACTTAGAAGAGGAAGAAGATGAACTCTCTTTCTCTCTCTCGTAGTCTGGTACTAACCTGTGAAGGTGGCGCCTTGTTGCAGGTACATCGAAGACGAAGCTGGAGCTATGGCGCCACAGGTAAGTCTCCCTGGCCTCCGCCAACCATCTCTCTCCCTCCAACACTATTCTAGCTCCTTCTAGCGCCCAACGCTGAAGACTACTCCTAACGCTACTACTACTGCAGCGCTCCTCCAGAGTGCTGCTGCCGAATCCTGAAGACTTTCTCCTGCCTCCTGTACGTGAAGTGCTTGGGAAGTCTCTATGAACTATCTGCAGCCTACATGGCGGGCGAGTCTTATATAGTGCTCGCCCGTCCAGGAGGCTGCTCTTGCCAATGCCAAAACGGCCAGACCTTGGTGTTGAAGTTCAAACAAAGGTAGTCTTGAAAACAGGCCCAAAATGGCCTGTGCTAAAACCCTGGTCTGGTGCCTAAGTTTCAGGGCAGGTCGATCTTATGAGGGCCTGAAAATGGCCCTCCGGTTCAGGCTGAAAAGACTCAGGGCCTGGAGGGCCGTGTTTAAGGTTGAACCGACATAGGGCCTGTAAACCCTCATTTTCAGGCTTTCAGGCTGAAACGACACAGGGCCTATAGGCCCTCGTTTTCAGGCTGAAAGGCTGAAACGACACAGGGCCTATAGGGCCTTGTTTACAGGCTTTTAGGCTGAAAACGACACAGGGCCTGGAAGGCCCTGATTTTCTGTCTGGCCGGGCCTTGCAGGCCCATGTGGCTGCACAGTATGCCACTACGAACGACAGAGGTTAGCTAAGGAAGCTTCACGACCTGGCCCTCCCACCCGGACTTTGGTCCCTCCCTCAGACAGACAGCTTCGCCCTCGCACATAAGCTCGGTCTTTCAAGGAGCGTAGATTAGTGGTGAGGATGCTTTCAAATCTGCTCCCGAAATCCATCGAGTGTCGTCGGGATCGCATGCTTTGAAGGTAACTTTGTACAGTCGAGGCTTGCTGCCGTACCGACGATCCGTGATGACGCGGTCAGCTTCCTGATGACCATCCATAGATGGAGGGTCTTGCGATCGTCGGCCCGGGAAGTCGTCACTCTTCGCTGGTGTGTATGTTGCCAGCTTCGAGGCGTGAAAGACTGGATGGACCGTTAGATGCGGGGGAATGTTGATCACAAATGAGGGGCCATCGGGCTCATCACCCGCGGCTGATGTCACGGGCCATGGTCCGAACCACTTGGGGAATAGTTTGCGCAAAACATCCTGTTCGAGTGCAAACTCTTCCACGGAAACCCAAACCAGATCACCGGCGCGGATGGGACAGGGCACGCAACACCTGTTGGCTTGCTGCTGCATGCAGACTTGCGCCTTTTGCATGTTTGCGAGGGCTTGAGCCAGCAATTCCCTGCACTTCCGGAAGGAAGCGGGAGAGCAAGCGGCGTCTATGTCGGCTGGTCGTGGCAGGAGAAGATCAACGAAGATACGACCTTTCCGGCCATCGTGGTGCAACTCGAATGGAGTCACGCCGATCGCCGGATGCAACGAAATGTTGTAGGCGAACTTGATGTCGGGGAGGCGGTCAACCCGATCCTTCTGGTCCGGACGGATGAGCGTACGAAGCATCATTTGAGCAGTGTTATGTGCCCATTCCATTTGGCCGTCTGTTTGTGGATGCTGAGCCGAACTTGGTTTCATCTTGGTGCGCGATTCCTGCATGAGAGAAGTCCAGAATGCCAACATAAAACGAGTGTCATGGTCGCTGACGATGTCTTTCAGTATGCTATGGCTGCAAATCCAGCTGGTGTGCAAGAGGCGCGCAAGTTCGGGAGCCGTGGCGTAGTACTTGCAAGGGAGAAATCGCACGTATTTACTCAATCGGTCAACGACCGTGAGGATGTCGTGGTGCTCGAGGCGGTCCCGAGGAAACGGACCAGTGACGTCCATGGCAATGGAAAGGGCGGGTCCTGTGGGATAGGCATCGGGTGCAACTCGCCGTAGGGATTGCGGTTGAGGAGCTTGCTTCATCGGCAAACTTCGCAAGAGTCGCAATATTGAGTGACATCGATAATGAGGTCGGACCATCGGAATCATTGCCGAAGTCGTGCAATAGTGCGATTTACTCTGAAATGGCCGGCGAGTCGTGAGTCATGGTACTCACCTAGAAGGCAAGTCCGAAGACGACGGTCTCGTGGGACACACAATAAGTCCTTGCGTCATGAATAGAAAAGCAAGTACCCGTCGGTGATGCGATAATGGCTGGCCGGCGGGTGATCCGAAGATAGTTGCGCATAAAGTGTGGCGAAATCTGGATCGGACTGGTAGCCCCGAATGAAATGCCGCTGAAGTTCCTCGTCGAACGCAAAGGCATGATGTGTCACAGGTCAAAGATCGGGTCTTCGCGAGAGTGCATCTGCTGCGCGATTGGAGAGGCCGGCGAGATGTTTCGGTTTGAAGTCAAATTGGTGGATGAAGTACATCCATCGTTCGATATTGTTGCTCACCGTATCCTGCGTCTCGTAGTAGGTCAACGGGTTGTTTTTCGTAACCCATGTGAACCTACGACGCCCAAGGAGGAAGTGCCGCCAACGCTTGAGAGCCATCACGAACGCGAGTAGCTCCTTTTTCCTTGCATCATCAAGTGAGTTGATGGGAGACACTCTATGGCTGAAATACTCCATGGGGTGCCAATCATCGTCATCGTGTTGTTTCAAGACTGCCCCAATGCCATAGCCGGAAGCGTAAGTTGTCACTCTCGTTGGCAAGGTGGGGTCGTAGATGCTAAGGACAGGTGCCATGAGCATGACCGTCTTGAGTGCTTGGAATGATCGACGTGCTTTGTCATCGAATACGAATGGCACCTTTGGCGATTGTAGTCTCGTCAATGGTGCGGCCATCCTTGAGTACTCGGTGATGAAGTGTTGGTAGTAGCCTGCCAATCCCATGAATGAGCGAACTGTCGTGGTGTTGGTGGGCTCAGGCCATACTCGGATGACCTCGATCTTGTCCGCGAGCGGACGGATGCCTTGCGGCATCAAAAAATGGCCCAAGTACTCGAGCTCTTGCCGCGTGAATTCGCATTTGTCGCGGTTGGCTTTGTATTTGGCTTGTCGTAGCCGTTCCAAAACGATGCACAGGTGCTCCACATGCTCGTCCAAACTCCAGCTGTGCACCAAGATATCGTCGAGGTAGATGAGTGCAAATCTGTCGAGCATCCTTCGGAACTCCATTGTCATAGCCGTTTGGAACGTGGTCGGGGCATTCGTAAGGTCAAAAGACATAACCAGCCATTCGAAATGCCCATATCGCGTCTTGAACGCGGTCTTGTAGCGGTCCTCCTGCCGGATCTCAAGTTGGTGATATCCCAATTTGAGGTCAAGCTTGGACAAAAATTGAGCGCCGCCCAGCCGTTCGAGAAGGTCGTCAATGCGAGGAAGAGGGTCAGCGTTCTTGATGGTTTGCGCGTTGAGCTTGCGATAATCTATGCACAACCGCAAGTCCTTATTCTTCTTCCGGACGAAGAGAACGAGAGCACCGTATACCGAAGAGCTAGGCCGAATCCAGCCTTTCTCCAGAAGGTCGTCGAGTTGTGCACGTAGCACACTTAACTCTTCCTCGCTCATGCGGTAGAGGCAACCACACGGAGGTACGGCCCCGTCCTCGAGGATGATCTCGTGGCGAATGGGCTGATCCGGTACTTCTCCGTAATGGGCTTCTTACACGTTGTCGTAGATGTCTAGAAGCTCGGTGATGTGTGGGTCCGTTGATGCGTCCATCGATGGAATGTCATGGGGAGGGAGGGCATGGAGAAAACACACCCCCATCTCCTCAATGTTGTCCCTGGTGATGGGAGCTCGAATGCTTGCAGTGGACACCAGGTGGCAGCTTATCGAAGGGTGAGGTGGAGGCACCGTGCATGGGACTAGTACTCCGTTCCAATCACGAACGTGAACGGTGCGGCGATAGAAGTTCACTGGGTGATCCTTGCTTCTCTACCATGACATGCCCAAAATCATATCGAACTTGGTGTCCAAAATGTCGAAGGACACGACTTCGCTTGCATGCGGGGCGAAGTACATGGGGATGGAATCAATGCACCGGTCAATTGACTTGTGTGTGTGCCAGTTGGCCAACGTGACTTGCGTGGGCTGCGACTTCCTCCAAACGTGTGGCCCAAGGTCAGCGCGTACCATAAAGTCTTGGCTCATGTAGTTGCGAGTAGCTCCGCAATCGATCAAAGCACTGCAGGTCGCCTCCCCGATCTGAATGCATATGTACAACAATGGTGCGTCGATGTCGTCGTACCGTTGTGTCTTGAACTTGTGGTCGATCTTCGCAACGTAGTCGTGAAGGTCAACAACCTCTACTCCGGCGTCCATCAACGGAGTTGGTACTGCAATGTGCAAGTAATCCCGCAGTTGTGCCATGAGCACGTTGCAATGCGGTTTAGGCAATCGACCGGTCAAGGGAAGGGGCATCCATTGGAAGTCCGCGAACGTCAACGGGTCAAGCTCTTCAAGTCTTGACCATGACGTCAAATCCCCGACGAAATTTGGCGGCCAAGCTGCCGAATCGGTTGCCGATGGTGGTGAAACCGTGCATGCGGTGGATTGTTGCACGTGGAGTGGTTGGTCCAACGGTGGGACCAAGTGGACAGCGTAATCCTTGTAAGTGAACCAAGGACTTGCGATATCCGCATTCTCCCCAGATGTGTAGGAGGCCGCTAGCAAGGCGGCCGAATCTGGCGGAGTGAGAGGTGGAGTCGCCTCACCTCCGGCACAACTCAGTTTCCCGAGTTGATGCGAGGTCGAACATCCTCCTTGCCTTGATCCGGGCATTGGGAGGTATTGTGCTTTGTGTTGTTGCACCAACAGCAGCAGCCATATTGGGTGCGCCACTTGTATTCGGCCTCGGTCAAGTGAAACTTGACCCATGGTACTGACTGTTCGTTTTTTGCCGGCGATGCTATTTTCGTTTTCCCTTTGTTACAGGAGTTGTTGTTACTTCGCGGCTTAATGGCGACCACCTGATCTCCCTCACGTGATGTTTGGGTGGCTGCCGGGTCTTCCACAATGTTGTCCGGTTGGACTGCAGCGACATGCTGTGGACGCGGACCAAATTTTCCATTCTCCACGTAGGCTGGCTGCCACACTGACTTCTCGTGTGCAGCAGCCCAGTTGGTCTTGATGATCTCTCACGCCTTGACAATAAATTCGGCAAAGGTTGTGTAGTGATCGCGATCACCAAGTGCAAGGCTCAAGGCGGCACACAACCGATTGTAGAACTCTCGGCGCAGATGCAAAAATGGCAGCTGGAGATCGGGCATTGCCACGATCTTTTGCCATTCCGTGAGCCAATCGCGTGTTGGTGTGTTGTCGTGGGTCATGGTGAAGAGGCGGTTGATGGCGAGCGCCGGGGCGTCGTCGACGATGAACCGCTTCTTCCATTCTCTCGTCAGATCTTCCCAGGAGATTTTCTGGTATAGATGGTTGACCTGGACGCCGTGGATGGTTGCCATGTGGCTGAGCTAGATTTGGCATCCGCCCTTGACGTTGAGGAACAACGCCGAGATGAACAAGTATTCGGGGACCTCGTGAATCCCAAGCTCCGTTGTAAAACCGTCCCACCAGACGACTGGGTCCTGATGCGTATAGTCGTCAAATTTCTCGATCCTGAACTTCGGCATCTTGTAGTGCTTTGATGTGCTGTGATCGTTGTCAGGCGGCTAGTGCAGCTGCCTGAGTTCGGTCTGCAAGGTGCCGAGCTGCTCGCTGATGGTGGCTGGTGCGGCGAAGTTGCTGATGTCGCTGAGCATTGCGACTACATGATCAACTCATTTCTCCAATTGGCGGGTAGAGGGTGCACTGCTGGACTCGCCAGCATCTGGTCTTGGTGCGGCCTACTCCAAGTCCTGTACACTGGAATGAAGTGCCCGTGTAGCATCCTCGTGCAGATCCTTGTGGTTCTGCATTGCCCATCGGAGACTTACCAATTCCTGGTGCTGTTTCTCTAACTCGGACTGTTGGTGGTTACAAGTGTAAACCAACCGTGTCACAAGTTTGGAGAAAACCCCCCTATTGCTGCTCTTCCGGTGTTGCGTTGTCATGGCCGGCGCATGGTTCAAAACACCAGAACTGGAGCTTGTCGATGCTGGTGGCTTCGTGCCGCTGCAGCAGCTCTTGGGCCTCCCTGCGGAGGGCCTGGGCATCTGCTTCTGAATCGGCCTGCAGGCACTGCTTTTCAGCTGCTGCCTCTGCTTCAGCCTGTAGGCGGGCAGCCTCGGCTGCCGCCCGATGCTGTACCTCAGCCTCGACCAGTGCGAGCTGAGCTAGCAACCGCTGATGTTACTCGTCAATGGACTCGTTGGCCAGTTGGCCCGGCATGCCCAAAACTGGAACCGTCATGGTGGCGAGGGACTGTTGGTACTGCTGACGTGGCACTTACCAAACCGGGAGTGCAGGCAAAGGGTTGGGTGGGAGGGAAAACGCAGGTAGGTAACCAACCAAACTATACTTGCCTCCCGGTCCTAATCAACAGACTAAAAAAAAATAAAAAATAAAAATAAAAGAAGAGACTCATCTCCCTTTTTTTTTTTTGTTTTTTGAAAATCTGTCGATTTGATATCAGTGAGGCATTTCAGAGGAGTACTATTAGCGAGATTTAGGCAAGGTTTCGCAAAGTGTGAGGATTTAGATCCTCGGCAGTGTCTGAAAGATGTCGTGCCCGTCCGAAGTGAAGGCGGGCCTGCAAATATGTGTCAATGCTTGTTTATAAGCCTATGAGACCAGGTTGAGGGGCCCAAGCAGAGCCTTTTGTAAACCGCATGTGGGCATGGATCTTCGACAAGGCCTTGTTACCAGTTGGCTCCGTGGCATGCCCCTGTAGGGCCCGTTCAGCAAGCATGAGCCCGCCCTAAGTGAAGGCGGGCCCCTGAATTTCAATATGGCCTGAGTTCATCAATTTTGGCAAAGTTTGGTGGGAGCCAGGCAGTTGCCATGCCCCAGTTGGTTTCATCCTCCATACTCGTGAGAATCAGAAATAATTCTTGAGCCTTCTAAGGCTCTTCCAGCAGCACAGGCGAAGCAGGGAGAACCTCACGTTTACTCCTGGGTGGTTGGGCAGTCTCAACCAATTCGGTCCCAGGCCACTGTCTGAATGGGCCTGGGCGCAGACAGTTTGGCCTGATTGGAAGCTACTGGAAATACACGAGGCCCAGCCAGGGAGCAGACTGGGCGAGCACTTTCCATAAAGTAAAGAGCTCGCCACTGGTGGAGGCATTCGGGCACTAGGCAGTGCATGCGGCAGTGCTGCTCGAGCGTGCGCTCGCGGGCTGTGCGCTGGGCACTAGCGCTAGTTGCCGGACAGTGCGCACGGGCGCTGGAAGAAGGCAGGGTGCTGCTCAGGGCAGCGCCATAGCCAGCCCTACATAGCCAGGGCTGGGCTTGGACAGCCAGTGGAGGTGGTGGTGGTCTTCGTGCATAAGGGAGAAGATGTGGGAGGAAGACAAGGATAGGGAGAGAGTGAAAGAGATGAGGATGATGATCTGAGGGCGCATACCTGGTATTGGCGATGGTCTACATTGGTCGACATCTTCAAGCACTTCGGTGGCTGCTGACGTCAACAGTTGCATTGTCAATTCGTAGGCAGGAAGTAGCTGTGTAGGGAGTAGCCTGGGCGCCGAGCGCCAAGTAGGGAGAGAGGGCCTGGATACGTATGTTGGTGGGGACGAGAGTAAAGCTCTCATTGACATTCGGTTTCAGTGTTTCAATTCTCCATTGGTGTAATATTGGTGCAATGCTGCTTATCTGGACACTGTGGGACTTTCTTGCTTTCAATGTGATTGTGCTATCTGGAGTCTGTCATCTCGCTATCTCTCATTTTCCTTGCAAAAGTCTCGGTTTTCAAAATGCAATCTTTGAAAAGAAATTTTGGGCGACATAGAATGGAGATTCGATTTTCAGAAAAGAATAAATCCAGTTTCCGAGAATATGACAACCTCCCTTGTGAACCTGTATGCCCAGAAAACGAGATGCTAACATCAGAAATTTTCGTCTATTTAAAACGAAATGCTAATATCAGAAAATTCCAGATAAAACGAAATGCTACTATCAGAAATTTTCAGATATTTAAAATGCTAATATCAGAATTTTTCAGATAAAACGAAATGCTACTATCAGAAATTTTCAGATATTTGTTGCAAGAACGGAAAAAAAATTGTCGGGATTTAACGGGATCCTACGTGATTCAGCCAATCAAACAATCGTCAAACTGTCAATCGATTAATACTCAAGCAGACTCCTTGATTGGGCAGATCCTCTGATTGAGAGGTCTGCTCCGATACCAAACTGTCGCATACCGTAATGGTGCAGACCAGAACAAGAACTGACCTCTCTCACATAGTACAGGATAGTGCAGCGGAACGCTAATATACCAATGATGAGCACAATCAATGTCGCAATGCAGACCCAGCATACATCATCATCGTTGCAAGGTGTGAAGGGCCTGGCGCTACACACAGGAAGAATGCCAGGTTCAGACCATACACAGACGAAGAGGAGGGGATCAGACGAAGAAGAGGGGGAAGATGGGAATGTCGTCAACACCAAGTCTTCGGTGCAGGTCCCAAATAATCCCTCGTTCAATGTCTCAATCCCAATGTCGAGTCTGAATCCAAATGTCGTCAAGTCCCAAAGTCACCAATCTCTCTCTCTCTCTCGTAGTCTGCAGATACTGAGAAGTCAGGTAGCGAGAGGGTGAGGGAGAGATGGTGGACTTAGAA